AATGGATTATAGAAATCAGTGATGATACCCAGCCCTAGTGAGCAGCCTAGGCACGACAGAAGTGGAGGTAGCTGTAATAGGAAAAGAACTATTGCTAACTTTTCTGTTAAGGCCTGATCCTTCTGAAATTCATAGCCAGTGCTCTGACACGGTGTCATCAATCTTTGAATGCTGAAAAAGCACAGTGTATCCAGAAAAACACATTATATTATATAAATTATTATAAAATTTGTGTGCGCCTAACTTTTGTGCCGGTACGCCCATGGCAAAAAGTTAGTCTAGAGCTCTGACATACCTTAAACACTTAAAGTTGTAAGCTAATGATAGTTATATAAGAGCAGATGCTGCTGGTGCAATAAGCTGTACGTTTTACGTCCAATGGATTTGATTAGTTGACTAATCGCAAAAATAATCGGTGACTAGTCAACTATCAAAATAATCGTTTGTGGCAGCCCTAATTCATAAGTAAAATTTTTTTGTGTTTTAATTTGTTTTGTTCTTTTAATCCAGGGCCAGACCAGCAGTTCAGACATCAACATCTTGGAATGCTCCTATCATCTGGGAGGGAATGTTTGATCCAAATCTTTTTGATCAAAAGCACATAGGAGAAAAGTCATCAGTGGCCCTTACTGTGTTTGCTGTGGGACGGTCGGTTCCTCCATAAAAACTGTATTCTTTGGCTATTATACAGTGGTGCCTTCTAGTTAATAGAATTTAATAGAATGATTAAGAAATGTAGGCATACCTACATGGCTGAATCAGTTCAACATGGCGAATTTAAACTGTAAATTCACTAGCCCACATAAGTAATCATGAGGTGGTGACTCTAGTTTTAGTTTATGAGGGGAAATATGCCTTATACCCCTGCAAAAGGGTTGCAAATGCATACGATAAGATCCACAAGCACAAACAAATGTTTACAAATGTGTACATGGATTTCTGTGTAACTTTTGAGGAGTCACAAATATGTGCTCCAATTCATGCACAAATACAAAGAAATCTGACCAAATTTGACCAAACTGTTTTGAAATCCAGACATCTAAACCTGAATAAATTTGCGCACATACATCTACGGTTATTATTATTATTATTATTATTATTATTAGCATTATGGTCATGTCTAGGTCTTTTCTTGCTTTCTTGCATGTTGCCTTCTTTGTTGCTATTTTTTTTTTTTAGCTTTTAAAAATGTAATTGGTAATTAGAGTGGTTGGCCTTTATGACCCATAACCAATAAACACCAGCTTGCCTTGCTGTTTGTTGGGTGTGGACGATTGAACCTTGGCTCAGATTGAAATAATTACTTTTGGTGCATCAAAGATAGTGAAGAAATATACAAACAGGATGGGTTTTGTATTGTTTTGCAATAATTTACAAATAAAAAAATCATTTGTTTTTCTCTGTCTCTCATTAAGGTACCTGGATGCCTACCTCAAGACTTTCCTCATCTCAGCAGAACAACATTTTATGTTGGGATTACCAGTGACGTATTATGTGTTTACAGACTTACCAGACAAAGTACCAAACATCACACTTGCTTCTCACAGAAAGATAAAGGTTATCCAGGTGGGAAAGCACACCAGGTGGCAAGACATTTCTATGATGCGAATGAAGACAATATCAGAAGCTATACAGTCAGAGATCCGTCACAGATTTCATTATGTCTTCTGTTTTGATGTGGATCAGGAGTTTAAGGGGAGATTTGGGTCTGAGGCACTGGGTGATTCTGTGGCTTTGCTCCATGCCCACTATTATAAATTACCAAAAGCCCAGTTTACCTACGACAGAAACCCCAAATCTAAAGCCTTCATGGAAACTGGCGATTTCTACTACCATGCTGCTATCTTTGGAGGAACGTGGCAAAATGTAAAGCATTTGGTAGATGCCTGTTATCTGGCTATCATGGAGGATGAAATAAATCATGTGGAAGCTCTGTGGCACGATGAGAGCCATCTAAACAAGTACTTTTGGATTCATAAACCAAGCAGGCTGCTGTCTCCAGAGTACTGCTGGGACCAGAGCATTTGAGACAAGCAGGATATACTTGTCACCCGCCTAGTGTGGGCACCAAAACATTATGACACACTTCGTACTGGCTAGATCGAAAATCAAAGTTGGAATTATTTTATAAGCAAGGGGCTAGCTTGTTAAACGTATATATAGACTTATTTTATGTTGGATTATTTCACAAGTGAGCTAGTAGAATAGCTCGTCTTCCTTTTCTGAAAACTCATCTAATCCAGCTAGGTAAATCTAAATGCTTAGGCTTGGAGGACTGTTGTTCCTTTTTGTAATTATGTTGCAATATTATATATTATTTTGTAAATATTTTAGGTTGTGACTAAATCTGGAGACTTTAATTATAGCTTGGTGGCTAACAAAGGTAAAAATTCTGCTCATGTACTAAAATCTTAAAATACCATAAAGAGAAGCATATCCTCTGACCAGTAGGTTTTTGTGGAATATTTATGGTGTCAAGAAGACAGACAGAAGTGAATTAAAAGGCCTAAAATCCAGCTGGGTGGGTGTAATGTAACAAAGAGTGCAGTGACAGAGATTTATGCTTGTGCTTTTGCTGATAGTTATTTTTGCTTTAATCAAATCATGAATCTAATCAAAATATGATCAAGAGGTAATAATTTAAAAACGAAGTGATTTTATTATGCATGGGCAATCAGAAGAAGTAATTTTTGGGTGTATTGTGATAAGGAGAGAAAGCAAATTCTAAGTTACAATGAAGTAATCAGAATTAAAAACTGTATGTGAAGTACAAAGAGCAATGTATTTCTAATCAAGATGATAAGAAGATGATAAGAAATCAGGCTAAAATTATGCAAACTGAAGTGAAATTATGTTGAATAAATGTGACAATTGTAATAAAGTAACTCTTACTACAGAGATAAAGTGAGGCAGAGAAAGAACACTGAGATGTGCTCAACATCAAATGGTTGGACTGACAAAACACTGGATGATGGCCATGACATGAAGGAAAGGTGAAAAGAAGAAGAGGACTATAAGACCCTTTGCAGATAACAGTAAATTATTTAAATAAGACATTCTATCTGCAATTAAATGTAATTTTGTGGATATTCCCTTTTTTGGATTGTTTTTAAATTCTTTTTTAAAAACTACTTTTTAAGTAATTTTGCAGCAGTCATGAAAGAATGGGGTATAATAAGCATACTGGTGTTTTGGAGAAGGTGACTATTGAAGATCAATTGGAGAGAAAGAGTCTCGATAAAAATCCATAACTGTATGTAATGATGTGTCTGTGAGATGGTTAGAAATATTTGCTTTTCTAGTGGCTAAAATTTTATTTGTGAAGACATTCATTAAGTCATTTCTAGTTAAGGTTAAAGGAATGATTTGGTCAACAGAGCTGTGACTCACTGAGCTTAGCAACAGATAGCGAAGAGAAAGTGATGAGTTTCTTGTATTTTCTTCAGCCAGAGATAAATAGTATGGAAATCTTTTTGTACCATTCTCCTCGCGTGTACACCAAGGAAAGTGGTACAAAAAGGAGGACTGATGTTTTGTTTGAATCAGAGTCAAACAGTGTTTCCTGAAAACCCTCTCCTGTCTGATCATTTCCTGATAACATTTACATTTACAATAATTGATTACACAGCGGTGGAGAGTAGACTTTATCAAAGTAGATGTCTTTCTGAAAGCGCTGTAACTAAGTTTAAGAATATAATCCACCCACTGTTATCATCTTCAATGCCCTGTACCAACATAGAGCAGAGCAGCTATCTGAACGCTACCCCAACAGAGGTCGATTATCTTGTTAATAATTTCACCTCCTCACTACGTACGACTCTGGATACTGTAGCTCCTGTGAAAACTAAGGTCTCTAATCAGAAGTACCTGACTCCGTGGTATAATTCTCAAACACGTACCCTAAAGCAGATGACTCGTAATCTGGAGAGGAAATGGCGTGTCACAAATTTAGAGGATCATCATTTAGCCTGGAGAAATAGTTTGCTGCTTTATAAGAAAGCCCTCCGCAAAGCCAGAACATCTTACTATTCATCACTGATTGAAGAAAATAAGAACAACCCCAGGTTTCTCTTCAGCACTGTAGCCAGGCTGACAAAAAGTCAGAGCTCTTTTGAGCCAACCATCCCTTTAACGTTAACTAGTAATGACTTCATGAACTTCTTCACAAATAAAATTTTTATCATTAGAGAAAAAATTACCAGTAATCATCCCACAGATGTAATATTATCTACAGCTACTCTTAGTACCATTGATGTTAAGTTAGACTCTTTTTCTCCAATTGATCTTTCTGAGTTAACTTCAATAATTACTTCCTCCAAACCATCAACGTGTCTTTTAGACCCCATTCCTACAAAACTGCTCAAAGAAGTCCTGCCATTAATTAATTCTTCGATCTTAAATATGATCAACCTATCTCTAATGATCGGCTATGTACCACAGGCCTT